CGATGTGAGGGTTTGGAGCCCTCGGTTTTTTTTTGCCGGAAAATTTCCCTGCCCCCCCCCCCCCCCAATGGTCCCCCCCCCCCCCCAATGGTCTAACGACTACGGCATGCACGACTATGAGTACACCCCCCCCAAAAAAAAAAACTGAAGCTCTTCTTCGCAGAATATGTTGCAACGATTCTCAACTTTCTTTGACGTTTTCGTCCCTCTCCCCTCGTTTCTTTAGAGAGAGGGTGCTTTTTTTTTTGTTCAAGTGTACATGCTCGCTTGCCGCCGGCCGCCCCTTTTCCTTCCCGCCCGTTCCCTGCTCGTCCCAAAACAATTGTGTGGTATAAGTAGTTTGGCCCACCCCCCCTCCCCCCCCTCGGTGTTTGTCATCGGGGTTGGGTTTTCGTCGCTTGGCAACGACGTTGTAAAATAAGCCGCCCCCCCCGGTGTTTGCCATCGGGGTTGGGTTTTCGTCGCTTGGCAACGACGTTGTAAAACAAGCCCCCCACTCGGTGTTTGCCATCGGGATTGGGTTTTCGTCGCTTGGCAACGACGTTGTAAAACAAGCCAATTCACTTCGTGAACTCGGCAACCAGGTTACCGTCTTTTTTTTTTACCTCTGTTTTTTTTTTGGCGGTAACCATAATGGTGGTCGAGTAGATCATGTTGTGCGGGGTCGAGAAACCTCACTCCGCGCAACGGGGGATGATCGCACCACGTTGTGTTAAAATGGTCAAGCTTCCTCCAGGCAGTTACACAGTGCTTACAACTGTCTCTGGAAGTGAAAGCACCAGAAAATAAATTAAGTCATACGTAGCTGTCATCCGTACGCAAGGAAGTAAGCACAAGATGCCGAACACCCTTAGCAGGATGCAGCTCACCCTTCATGCGACTCGCCAAATACCTCACGGCGCTTCGCGCTTGGTGATGTGAGAGCCTGGTCCGGTGAGAACCCGGCGTGCTCCGTCCCGGCTTTGTAGGGATGCGAGGTCAATGGTCAAACGACTACGGCATGCACGACTATGAGTACACCCCCCCCCCCTCCCCCCCCCCGGGTTGCTTTCCGTTTTTTTTT